TCACCATGGAAGATACTGGAGTGAAAAAAAAAAAGGTCATCAGAGACGAGGAAAAGATGCAACTGAGGGGGCAGAATTTTGGATGGCTCATTTATTGGGATGATGAGGTCTCCCAGAGCCATGAAAGAAATTTTAGAATAGAGATGCATATTGTGAGCTGAGCACTGAAGTTTTCTTTGAAGGGATAGTAGGGGTGGGGTTATATGCATCATTTTAAAGATCACAGTGTCTTTCAAAGTATGGTTTATAGAGCCCAGGGAGTCCCTAAGACCTTTTCGAAGATGGGTTGAGGTGTGTGTGGTCCTCTGAGTTCAAGACAATTTCACAACAATATTAAGACATTTGCCACTTTCACTGTGTTTATATTTGCATGGATGGTGCAAAAGTAATGGCAGGTAAAACTACTGTGGCCTTGATACAAATCAAGGAAGTGGCACCAAACTCACAGGAAAGAAATTAAGTTTTATTTAGAAAGTTTTGTCTTTTTGTTTGTTTGTTAATCTTCACCTGAAGATAACTTTTCCATTGATTTTTAGAGAGTGGAAGGGAGGGGAGAGACACAGAGAGAGAAACATGGATGTGAAAGAGACACCTTGATTGGTTGCCTCCTGCAGGTGCCCTGACCAGGGCTGGGGATTGATCCTGCAACCTAGGTACATGCCCTTGACTGGAATTGAACCTGGGACCCCTCAGTTTGTGGGCCGACACTCTGTCCACTGAGCAAAATCAGCTAGGACAAGAAAGTCCTTTTGGAAACATAAAAATTATTAATTTTATTAAGCCTCAATCTTTGAATACATGTTATTTAAATGTTCTGTGTGTCAAAATGGAAAGAATTCACCAAGAATTTTTGTGCACTGAAGTATGATGGTTGTCTTTTGTAAAAAAAAAAAATCATTTGAGTTTTAAGTAAAAGTGGCCGCTTTTTCCCCTGGAACATGTTCTTACTCAACAGGATAACTGTCAAACTGCAGTTTTTCAGGCTTACATATTTGGCAGATTTTGTCTCAAAAATGAACAGAGAGCTTATCACTTAAAAAAATAACACTATCGTTACCAATGACAAAATTTGAGCTTTCAAGCAAAACTCAAACTTTTGGAAAAACATATCCACTATGATGAGCTTGAAGACATCACTTGCAATCTTAATAAATTTGACTTTTTATGTTGCATAAGAATGTGTTAATATTTTTAAAGTATGAATAATCAGTGAACCATTATTTTTCAAATTTCCAATGCCTAATGTTACAAAAATCATGTATGGGTGTCAGATCCATTGGAAGTATAAATAGAGTAGTGGATTTTAATGAAACAACATACAAAAAATTCATTGATATGCTTTTAGATTCCACATTGCAACTAACATTTAAGGAATTGCCCATTGTCAAGTTTTGGTGTAGTATCAAAGAACAGCCACAGTTATCTGAAGAGACTATTAAAACACTCTTCAACTGCATAACTTCTCAACTATATAAATGTACGAGGAGGGTTTTTTTTCATAGAATTCAACCAAAGCCACATAAAGCAACAGATGGAACGAAGCAGCAGAAATGAGAATCTAGCTGCTTTCTACTAACCAGACATTAAAGATATTTCCAAAAATATAAAACAATGACACTTTCTCACTAATTATTATTCTTTGAAATGTATTTTTAATACACTTACTTTATATATATTGAAACATGTAATGGGTTTATTTTTTTAATTTTAAATAGATAAATATATATTTTAAGTTTTTCTCAGTTTCAATTCTGAACTTTGTGAATATCAATAGCTCTAGTCCATTTACACAAAAGCTCTTTGGAGTTCTCAGTAGCACGTTATAGTATAAAAGGATCCTGGGACCCACGTTTGAGAACTAGTGTTTAAAAACAGTCACTTTCCTGACTACCTTGTCTAGGGGTGCAGCCTAGGTGCCATCCCTCCTCATGGGTAGCAGCTCTGGCATAATTAGCATGAGATTTGAAGTACTTTTTAATTCTACACTTGGGAGATAGTTGTTGCATTCATTACAGCAGAGGCTACCTGATTCTCAGAGGTTGTGGCAATGTGGGTGGTAACAGACAACCTGACTACTTTGCCCAGTGGGCTGACCAGGCTTTGAAGGTACAGGAGCAGTGGTGGTGAGGCTATGGAAAGAGGCTCAGGCATGGAGCCAGACAAACATCATGAGGAGCAAGAGTTGGGGTTTACCATCAAGCCAACTAGTTCAAATTCTGCCTCTGTCACTCTGGGCTATGACTTCAGGATTACTTAGCTTTTAGGATCTCAACTCTCTTATATGTAAAACTAGAAGCCCGTCACATGAAGATTTGCGCAATAGGCCTTCCTTCCTCTGGCTGCCAGCACCAGTTTTCCTCCAGTACCCAGAAGCCAAGTCACTTCAGTCTTCAGTCTTCAGTCTTCAGTCTTCACTCCAGCCAGAGCCTTCAGTCTTCACTCTGTGCCTACGTATGCAAATTAACTGCCATCTTTGTTGGGTTAATTTGCAAACTCATCTGATTGGCTGGTGGGCATAACAGAGTGATACCAATTTGCATGTTTCTCTTTTATGAGTGCAAATAGGGCTGATTATATATACCTCCTACGATCATTATAGAGATTACATGAGAAAATCCATGTAATGTTCTAGTGTGTAATAATAAAAGCCAATCTTTAATAAACACTTTATAAGCATTTTAATGTGCTTTCAATAACCCTGTTAAGTAATATTGTTAACATAGTTCTACAGATGGGAGAGCTATAGCTCAGTTAAGTTCAAGTTTTCAAAGTCAGTGGGGGGCTTAGATTAAAACTCAGTCTCTTCACCCAAGACCCCATGTTTTTACCCACTGGCTTTTTGCTACTCAGACTCTTCAAAAATATTAATTCTCTTCAGTACTCATATCTGTAAAAATAAAATTCATATTGAATGAAAAGAGATTTTATATAAACCCTCTAACATCATACCTGTAAGAACAGGGGCATGATAAAATTTTCATTTTTCATTTCTTAAAAGTGTGACTGACTGGAAGGAAATTTCCTTTGTTTAAGCTTGGCAACTTAAAACTGATACAGAGAGATGAAGAGTGCTGGAGATAGATGGTGGTGATGGTGGCAGAACAACATGAATGTACTTAATGCTGCTGAACTGCACACTTAAAAGTATAGTAACTTTTATATTGTGCATTTTACTTCAAAAAAAGAAATTGGGGGAAAGAGAAAGGGCAATAGGTCATACAACTTTTGTTTTAAAAGCACCATGTGTAGCCCTCACTAGTTTGGCTCAGTGGATAGAGCTTGTGGACTGAAGGGTCCCAGGTTCAATTCCAGTCAAGGGCACATGCCTGGGTTGCAGGCTTGATCCCCAGTAGGGGACATGCAGGAGGCAGTCAATCAATGATTCTCTCTCATCACTGATGTTTCCATTTCTCCCTCCCTCTCTAAAATCAATAAAAGTATATTAAAAATAAATAAATAAAAACGCAACATATAATTCTTAAGAAGGAAGATAAAATCATTCCAGTGTGGACGTGCCCTTAGAACCAAGCCTTCCAGGTAAGAATAACTAAGCATCCCTAACATTCCCCCCACCCCCTGCTCTCTTCCTACTCATGCCTCCAGATAACTGGAAGGGTAAGGGAATATCTTGTGACACTGCTGCCATAGGTACCCAGATGCCCAAATCAATGGGAAAACTTTACAACTTAGAAAAGTCAGCCTACGTTTAGCCATAGAAAAAGAAATCCTGCCATTTGTGGGTGAACATAGGATGAACCTGGAGGACATTATGCTAAGTGAGAAATGCCAGAGAGAGAAAGAGAATACTGCATCTAAAAAAGTTGAGTTCATAGAACCAGAGAGTAGATGATAGTGAGCGGTTTTAGGGACAGAAGAGGGGGGGACATGGGGAGAGATTGGTCAGGAGAAAAAACTTTTGGTTCTAGGATGAGTAAGTTCTGGCAATGCAATATACAGTGCGGAGACAATAGTTAATACTGTATTGTATATTTACTTGAAATTTGCTAAAAGAGTAGGTATTAAGTGCTCTCATACCTCCAAAAAAAGTAATTGTAAGGTGATGGATTTGTTAATTAGCTTAATTGTGGTAATTATTTATATATCCTGTATAATAAAAGCCTATGATGCAAATCGACGGAACATCAGAACAAACGGTGGAACCACCAGTTGCTATGATGCACACTGATCACCAGGGGGCAGATGCTCAATGCAGGAGCTGCTCCCAGCCCACAGACCCCAGGCCAGCCAAGGTGGGTGCCAGTGGGAGCCCACTGATCGCCCCGCCAGTCTCCCCCCAGATTGGCCTTGATGGCCGGCTAGGCCTAGGGACCCTACCCATGCATGAAATTCATGCACCGGAGGGGGGGGGGTGTCCCCTCAGCCAAGTCTGCACCTTCCCCAATCTGGGCCCCTCGGGGGATGTCTGACTGGCAGTTTTGGCCTGGGAATTGGGCCCAAAATGGCAGTCTGACATCCCTCTCACAATCCTGGACCACTGGCTCCTAATTGCTCACCTGCCTGCCTGCCTGGTTGCCCCTAACTGCACCCCTGCCAGTCTAATTGCCTCTAACTGACCCCCTGCTGTCCTGGTAGCCCCTAACTGCCCCCTCCGCCAGCTTGGTCACCCCCAACTGCTCCCCCCCGCCTGGTTGCCCCTCACGCTCCGCCCCCCACCAGCCTGTCGTCCCACACAGCCTACTGTCCAGTCGTTTGGTCGTCCCTCACTAACCCCCCTGCTAGCCTGGTCATAGGTAGCTATCTTGTGAGGGTGTGAGGGTTAATTTGCATATTATCTCTTTATTATATAGGAGGATATTTTATAGCATATAATTAATTTATATATGTATGAATATATATAATTCTTGTCAATTATACCTCAATAAAACAGAAAAAAAGTCAGCATCTGTTTTCCTATTATTAACATGCCTTCATATTAAAAGGCTTTTTGGAATTATCATAATAAAATTTTTAAATTGAACCTGGGATCTTTCTTCTTTTAGGAGAGTGAGTCGGGGGGCTGGGAGCTTGACGTTCACAGCAGTGAACTGCCAGCTGAGTGACTGGTCAGAGTGGACAGAATGCATTCAATGCCAGGACAAAAAGGTAAGGCACTGAGACCAGTTCGGGGGCATTTAGTATTTGAGTTGTGTACAGGCATTCAAATAAGATAAGCACCCAGGCCTATAAATCTGAAGGTCTGGGGAGAAATTGGGTCTAGAAATAGGTACTTGGAAGCCATGGATACGTGGATGTTAGAACTTTTTTTTGCCTTTCCTGATTTTGTTTGTAAGGCATTATTGGGTGAAGCTGCAAACTATGTGTATGCTATGGCTTATACTCAGAAAAGTGGTTATTTGGACAGGGGCACACTGACCCATGATGGCCTCTCTGGGTTCTAGCCAATCTACTGCCTTCTAATAAGGGCCATCTGAAGGGACGAATGGCTTAGGAACAAATGCCTCGCTGTCCATGACCCTGGTGAGCTGAGACAAACCAGAGCATATCACAGAGGGGGCTCCTGAGGATTCCATTTCCATGCAGCAGGAAGGCTGGGGAGGGTAGGGGGGCAGAAGGGGGGGTAAGAGATCAACTGAAGGACTTATATGCATGCATATAAGCATAACCAATGGACATAAGACACTGGGGGGTAGGGGAGACCAGGGGATTGTCAAGGGTGGGGAAAAAAGGAGACATATGTAATACCCTTTGTAATACTTTAAGCAAAAAAAAGAAAAGAAAGACATGCCCAATAAACTGATATGTGTCTATCATGCACGTCTAAATGTTTTTGAATGGTCCACAATGGTGGGTAAACTTAGTGGTATATCAAAGGAAGGGGGATGCTGGTAGTGCTCCCCCACACCGTTCCAGCGGGGAGGAATATTAAATTTCTGACTTTGTTCAGAATCCCTAGTTCATAAGTCAATGCTCAACCACTGAACCACACTGGCCAGGTGCCTTGTCCTTTTCTTACAGGAGCTTTTGCAGAGTTGGCTGATGGTCCTCCTTACTCCAGACCCACTCTTTAGTTAGATGTAAAAGTGCCCACGAATGTTTGATGAACTGTTCAAAACCACAGTGTGGTAGAACATCATTTGTGCCTAGTTTCTTCAACTTCAAACCCTGAACTTCATTGTTCTGCCACTCTCATCTCCGACATATGCCAAAAAACCCTAGGCTGCCACAGTTTTCATTCTAGACTGGCCCCCAAATGCTCATTTTGCTCTGAGATCCTGTAGTACTTCTCTGCGTCATCTGTAACAAATTGCCACAAACAACATAAATTTATTCTCTCCAAATTCTGGAGACCAGATGTTTGAAACTAAGGTATCAGCAGGGTTACCCTTCCCCTGGAGGCTTCAGGGGAGAATCTATTCCTTGCCTCTTCCAGCTCCTCGTGGCTATTGACAATCCTTGACATGTGGCTCCATCACTCCAATCCCTGCCTCTGTGGTCAATTGCCTCCTCCTCTGTGTGTCTCCTTTGTGTGTCTGTGCGACATCTTCCTCTGCCTTCCTCTTATAAGGACACTGTGATGGCATTGAGGGCTTACCTGGATTATCCAGAGTAATCTCATCTCAAAAACCTTAATAATGTTTGCAAATACCCCTTTTTCAAATAAAGTAACATTCACAACGTTCAAGGGTTAAGATGTCTTCCTTCCTTTCTTTTCTTTCTTTCTTTTCTTTCTTTCTTTCTTTCTTTCTTTCTTTCTTTCTTTCTTTCTTTCTTTCTTTCTTTCTTTCTTTCTTTCTTTCTTACATGGCCATTATTCAACCTACCATATATCCCAAACTGCATTTTCTCATACTTTGCAGTTTAGATAGCATATAGCACAAGTGAATGACTTATAGGTTAAATCAGAATTGAATGATTTCCTTAAAATAATCAAATCCTGTGAAGTGAAAGACACTCTAGTTTCTTTTTACTAGTATTAATATGTTTCTTCCTCTTGAAATCACACAAAGATGTGCATTTCTGGAAAGAAACATTATCTAGGAGCTAAAAGAGGAAATTACGTCTTAATGACACCCACCACAGGCTACAGCACGAAGAAGTCCCTCAGGGAATGTCCGCACCAACCTTCCTGCAACACAATGTCTTCATTATTTGGTAACAACCTAGAAAACAGGGAGTCAGTGGGGACAAACCTCATGTTTGCACCATTATTTCCAGTAGAGTCACCACAGGAAGGATGATAATGGCAACGACAATCACTATTTGTGAAGTAATGTCTATATACCAGCACTGTGCTAATGCTTTAAATAAATTGTCTTATTGACTTTCACAGCCAACTGTACATGATAGATCTCATCATCCCCTTTGCTTGGGTCTCCCGTTAAGAAAGTGGCAGAGCCCGCGTTTAAAACTTGATCAGTGTGTTTCTCAAGTGCCCATTGTGCCTGACCACTTCACTCTATGGCCTCTCCTGGAACACGATGGAGAATAACAATGACACTTGGGGGTCACCTGATCCAATTCCCACTCAGTCATAAATCCTTCTGGAGTAGCCCAACAGTTGGCTACAAGAATGATGATGATGTTGATAACTATGATTATTGATTGCATGCCAGCAATAAGGCAAAGTGCTAGTTTTTTACATGTATTATCACGGATCTTCACAACATGCTGAAACAGCTGTCATTTTATAGATGAGAAAACTGAGGTTCAGAGATATCAAGAAATTTACCATGCATGGTAAATGGTAGAACTGGAATTCCAACCAAGTCTAAAATGGGGTCCATAGTAGTACATAACCTCTCAAACTTGTGAGATTAAATGAGGTAAAGAATGTGAAGAGTTTGGACAATAATATGCACTCAATACAGGGTAGGTACCAATACCACTATCACCATGTTGGTAACTGCAGGCCTCAAAACTCAGATGAGCTTTTTAAGGAGTAGAAAAGAGAACTGGCTCTATGTTACTAGGCTGGATGCTCAGAGAAGGTAAGTGACTTGTTCAGGGTCAGTTGGTAATGAATCTGGGATCTGAACCCAAATCAGTCTAATTCTCATGCCCTGGCTCTTTCAAATGTAGGACACAGTAAAAGAATCTTTAGTACCTTTGGTAATTGTTATTAGTGAGGTCAACTAGATCAACCTCATAATTTTTATAGATTTGGAAACCGAGGCACACAGTACCAAATACTGACACTTTACATAGCAAGTGAGAAATAGATTCAGATCAGGAGCTCATATCTCTTACTGCTCAAATCATTGCTTCCTACTTCCTTACTAACATTCTTGAAGGAGAGGCCTGAAGAGTTGATTCAAGGTCAGAGGCAGCAGAAAATATGGGGCGGCACATCGCCTTATTGAACATTTTGTAAGGAGCTCTCCATACAGCATGTTTTGTACTATTATATGCTTTATTTCCTCAGCTAGACTCTAAGCTTCTTGAAGGCAGGGATGGGTACTAAATGTCTCTGGATATCCTAATGTTCAGCTTTCTCCTTCTACAGTATCATGATAACATAGAGCTCCAAGACTGGTGTGCATTTTTATTCTTTCTGTCCTCCTCTCAACAAGTATTCATTCATCTGCAGTCAAAGCTGGACCCAGGGCCTCAGATGATGTCTTAGAGCTCTCCTTGTCTAACTCTTGGATGGGCTCTTTCTATATAGTAGGCAAGATGACCATTCAATGCCCACAGTCCCAGTAACTTCAATAAAAGGAAATGGTCTTTCCCAGTAACTCTGAAAGAAAACCCTCAGAGAGGACTCTGTCTGTCCTAAGGTTGAGCCGTGAGCCACAACCTGAGCCAATCATTGCAACTTGGAGATAGGAAGCTCTGGTTGCCCGGCCTGGTTCATAGCCAGACATCCCTGTGACCGAGGGGAGGAGCTCATCCCCACTGAACTGTATGAGATATGTCTCAAGGAAAGAGAGGATGCCATGACCAGAAGAAATGCTGTGGAGGAAAAGCAATAAATGTCTTTTATGTATATATATTGATTTCAGAGAGGAAGGGAGAGGGAGAGAGAGCTAGAAACATCAATGATGAGAGAGAATCATTGATTGGCTGCCTCCTGCACATACCCCACACTGGAGATTGAGCCCACAACCTGAGCATGTGCCCTTACTGGGAATTGAACCATGACCTCCTGGTTCATTGGTCAATGCTCAACCACTGAGCCAAGTTGGCCAGGAAACAAACTTCTTCTAACAGTGCCTCCTGTGTACCTGACTGTAGATGAAGGCACTGAGTCAATTAAGACATGGACCTTCCTTTTCCACTCCTACCCCCATGTGAAAATTGTTCCTAAACTAGTGAGAAAGGTAAACAAAGAAGCGGACAATCAATCAAAACCCAATGACAAGATCTAGAAAGAGAGGAATGCACAGGGAACTGTAGAATCCATTAGTTAGGAAAGGCTTTCCGAGGACCTATACCGTGAATTTGAAAGGTGAATAGGAACTAACTGGTTGAAGAAGGAAGGAGCAGGTTCTTCCCAGGAATTAGGAAGATCCTAGACATATGGTGTTCAAGCCTTTCATTTGTGCTTGGAGGCCTTATTCACTATTGCAGCTGGCGACTGTGAAACCTCTGGTTGAATATCCATTTTTATGAACACTGATCTCTTCTTCAAAAGACAGTCTTTTAGGCAGCTCTCAATCATTAGACAGTTATTCCTTATGCTGAGCTGAGACTTGCCGGCACAACTCTTGGTTGATTGAGAGACAATGAATGTGTCTGGTTCAAAATCTGATTTAGTACCGACACCGGAGCCTGCTTCAGCCAAACAAGTTTGGGGGGACCATCTGCAGTGGTGACGTCTGGGATGAAATCAGCTGTCGCAGACCCACAGCTTGTGCAAGGCAAGCGCAGTGTGGACAGGATTTCCAGTGTAAAGAGACAGGTGAGTAACATTCCAGCGGAATAACAGAAGTGCTCGTCACCTTAACATGCAAAACACTTCCCTGGGAGCTTGTTAAAAGAGGGACTCCTGAGCTTTTCCCTTAGCAATGGGTTAAGATGGGGCCCAGGAACCTGCATTTTAAGCCAAGTCAATAGCCCAAGTAATTTTGATGTAAGTTTGTAGGAAAATCTGTTGATTCTTTTCACAAAGATATAATTCACTCCCTCATCCTCTCATTGAATACATATTGATTGTGCACATATTACATGCCAGGCAGTAAGCTACCTGCTGGTGATACAGACATTCAAAAAGAAAAACCCCAATGTGTCTGACCTCAAATTACTCCTAGTCTCCTTAGCAGAGAGGCCTACAAGGAGTTGATGACAATACTGTGGGATAGCCAGAGGAATGGGCATTAGCACATAGTCCAGGGAGGCATAAATCTGCTTTGGACAGTCAGAGCAGGCTTCAAAATGATACTTGAACTGAGACTTGGAAAATAAAGAATTTCTAGGAAAAAGAATGTGCAAAATATGAGGATTTAAGGGTTCCCTATCAGTTCGGAATAATTAAAGGTCAGGTCTTTGTGAAGAGAGGCAGGGGATGGGCCAGGTAGGAACTGGGGCCAGACTGTAGCTTTTGGAAGAGGAATGGGGAGAAACTGGAGGATACAGGTCAGGGGATGACAGGGCCAGATTGGCATTTTAGAAAGACTACCAGGGCAGTAATGAGGAGGCTAGATTTTAGGAGGGAGCCTGGGGCAGGGCCTGAGCTGGGGCTGCAGGAGGGAGACAGTGAGGCTGGAAGTTAGAGAGGACAAAAGAAGGATGCAATAGGATGGAGAGGGCTGAGGGCAGTTCAGAGGTGGAATGGACTTGGTGATGATGGATGTGGGTCATGAGGGAGAAGGAGGAGTCTGGGAGGCTCTAGGAGCATCCACAGCCTCTTCTCTCAGGTCGCTGCCTGAAACGCCACCTCGTGTGCAATGGAGACAAGGACTGCTCTGACGGCTCTGATGAGGACAACTGTGACGACGTCAGGGTCGTTGAAGACGACTGCACTCTGTATGACCCGATTCCAGGATCCGAGAGGGCAGCCTCTGGGTGAGTCCGTGCCTTCTGGCCATTTGGGAGCAGGGAATGATTTCTCTTCAATCATAAATATTAGTTTTGGAGACAGAAGAGGGTCTTTTTGGAGGATTCCTCTGGAATGCTTCCCATGAGGCAGCTGTCACTGTCCATTGAAGGTGGTGTCTTAGTCCTGTTGGGCTATAATAAAGTGCTGCACACTAGGTGGCTTATAAACAACAGAAATGTCTTTCTCATGGTTCTGGAGGATGGAAGTCCGAGATCAGGGTGTCAGCACTCTCAGGTGAGTGCCCTTTTGCACAAGGTGGCAGGGGCTAGGGATCTCTGTGGGGTCTCCTTTATAAGAGCACTAATACCCTTCATGAGAGCTCCACCCTCAGGATCTAAGCACCTCCTGAAGGCCCCCTCCCCCTTCTAATACCATCACAGCAGGGAACAGGACTTTAACATATGAAATCTGGGGGGATACAACATTCAGTCCATAACAGGGGGCTTGCCCAGTCCTGCCTGCATGCCATACTTGTTTCCCCCTCTATGTCTCTACCTGAGAGTTCCCCTATCTTTTTCCCCTGCCCACTCATTGCTCACTCCTCTCACCCTAATTCCATCGCCAAGTTCCCTCTAAGAAGCCACGTCTCCCATGAGTGCTTCCCTGATGTCTCAGAGGATGATACTTCTCTGACCCGAGTGCCCTCCCCAGTAGCCCTGTTCACATCCGGCTTTGGACTGTACTTGCTGGTATAAGCAGGGCTAACAGGGCTGACAGGGCAAAGAAGATGGATTTGGGGTGATATGGAGAGATGCCTGACTCTCTACTTTACGAGTGCTCACTCACACCTCCCAGGCACAGTATCTTTATCTGTTGAGATTCAGTCAGCCTTGATTCTAACTTTATCCTATACATTCTGCTCAGGGTCAGTTCCTTGAATGCATCACTCTTTTGTTTTGAGACTTAATATGTTAAATTCCTCCTTTCTGAAATGTCCTTCCCCATGTTTCTCACCTGCCTAACATCTTACCTAGAGTTATAAACTAAATTTTGTCCCCCTAAAACGCATCAGATGAAGCCCTAACCTCCATGTGGCTGTATTTGGAGATTATTAAGGCTGACTGAGGTCATTGGGGAGGGGGGGAGGACATAATCCAATAGGACTCATGACCTCATAAGAAGAGGGAAAGACCCCAGAGATTGCTCCCACAACATGCAGAGAAGACACCATGTCAGGGCACAGTGAGAAGGGGGCCATCTGCAACCAGGAAGAGGCCTCACCAGAAACCAATCCTGACGGCACTTTGATCTTGGACTTCCAACCTCCTGAACTGTGAGAAAATAAATGTTTATTCCCTGAGTCACCCATTCTGTGGTATTTTATGACAGCCCGAGCTAACACACCTATGCATCACCTCCTCCACTCTTCTCGACACTCCTCCTTTTTGACAGGGTCTAGGCTGGCTTACCCTTCTTGTTGCTCCCAGAGTCCTTTGTGTGTCGTAGCCTCCCAGTGCATATCCAGCAGGGCTGGGACATCTGATACAATGTCCTTCGGCCCCTGATAAGAACTCCTCCCCACTTCTGCTTCAGCAGCACCCAGCACAGGGCCACGCCCCTGGTGACACCCAGTCGTCAGCTTCCTGGCACTTCCTTTTGGTCCTGGATCCTGTCCCTTAACTTGAATGTAAACTCTTTGAAGGCAAAGAGGCTGCTCAGACTCTCCTTTTTATCACCTCAGCTTGATGTCAGAGCTTTCCCCACAAGAGCCTCTCACTGAGTATTGGCTGAATGGAAGAAATCAATATGAGGAACCGGATCTTTGCAGACGAGGGAGCGGGGAGATGGAGTAATCATCACAGAGTGACCAGGCCACGGTGCAGCCCAGGCAGGGCCAGGGGAGGGTGCTGGGAGGTGCAGCTCGCTTTCATTACAGCTTAACTGTCCTAATATCACAGCCCACCTACCAGATAGGATGGAGTCCTGTAAGCGCACGTAGATGCACACTATGACAAGGCTCTAAAATTCCATTTTCTTTCCCACTAATAGTATTAGTTTGCTCGGGTTGCCATAACAAAGTATCGCCTACCAGGTGGCTGAAGCAACAGAAATGTACTTTCTCACAGTTATGGAGGCTGAAGGTCTGTGGCCAGGGGTCAGCAGGGTGGTTTCCTCTAAGGCCTCTCTCCTGGGTTTGTGGATGGCCATCTTCTCTCTGCGTCTTCACACGGTCTTCCCTCCATATGGGTCTGGGTCCAAATTTCCTCTTTTAATCAGATTACAGCCCACCTTAAGGACCTCCTTTTAACTTAATTACCTCGGTAATGACTCTACCACCAAAAATGCAGTCAAATTCTGAGGTTTTGGGGGTCAGGATTTCAACATATGAATGTTAGGGGGGAACACAGTTTAGCCCCTTACACCAATAAAAGGAGATGGTTGTAGATTTTGAAAGTGATTGTAGGGTGAACAGAGTAGAAGCATACAATGTTGAGGCTTGACTTGAAACATAATTACCTTTTTATTGGCACAAAGATCACAGATTTGCTCATGAGCTTCCTGCTTTGCCCACACCAGACACTGAAACCACTAGAATGTCTACTCCTCCACTCCCAGCAGCTGATATTTTGATATTTTTTTCTATTCAAGATCTTAGAAGCCTTTCCAGAAATATTTTTTTCTAATTGAAGCCTTTCCTAGTTTTTAATTTGTATTTGTTATTACAGTCATCACCTATGTTTGACTTCTATAAAACTGAGTCTTCCCTCACCCTCCCTGCCCTGCACCCACCCATTGCCCTCTCTCTCAGCCCTTTCTAGAGCTGACCCTGTAACAGCGTGGTGTAGGGACTTCCAGATCATGGGAAAATGCATGGGCAATATAGACTGTTTGGAAAATGTGCCTATAATATGTATTGTGCATTATAGACATTAGTTTCCATAAATGTGATCCTGCTATATATAGTCCACAATTTGTTTTTTTCACTTAATACATTTTGAAGATTTCTCCCATATTTTTCATTGTCTCTTTTTAAGTACCATATTATGTTCTCTAACAGCACAGTATGGCCTGCAGGCCAAGCTCAGCCTGCTGCTGTCTGTGTGTATAAATATAGTCCTACTGGAACACGCTTTCTACCCTACAATGGCAGTGCTGAGTAGTTGCAGCAGAGACCTGTAGCCTGCAAGGTCCAAAATTTTTACTATGTGGCCCTTTGTAAAAAAAGAAAAAGTTGTCGACTCTTCTCCTATAGTATAAATATATGATAACTTATTTAACTGCTTCCAATAGAAAGATAGTTTTTCATTTTCTCTAATAAACAAACACTGCAGTGAACATCCTTATACACATTGTTTTACACACCTGTGAATATTTCTACATAGCAGAATTCCAAAAAGCAGAATTTTTCGACTGTCTTTTTCTTTTCACTAGGGCTTCTGCAACCAGATTTTCCCAAATAGATATAGGCTTGGAGGTTACATATAAACTTAGGACATATTATTCCCGTGAGTTTTGGTTTGGCCTGTTAGAGAGCTTGAATTATAGTTTTATAAACTATAGGCAGAAACCATTCACTAGGGGGAAAGATAGAAAGTGCAGAAGTAAAGGAAAAGAACCCAGATTTGTGTCCAAAAAAAACTCTAGGGGGAAAAAATCTAGCTGTGATTACAAGCAAGTTACTTAATTTTTCTGAGCTTCAATTTCTGTATTGGCAAAACTGTCATGGGGTTGAAAGCTAATATATGCTAAATGTCTGGCAGAGTGTGTATTCAATCCATCAGAGCTTTTATTACTCACTTCTACTAATATGAGGAAAGAGGTTGAGGAAGGAAGAGAAGAAGGAAGTTCATTTACATTTAATTTCTACAACATGCCAGGTGCTCTATAGTTGTCCATTTACTTCTCTGAAGCAGGTTTTATTTAGTTTTTACACATCTTATTGCCTTTGCCCCTTTCCACAGAGGCCACAGACAAATATGACAAGATAAGCACTGAATGCCATTGGACCCCAGAAGAGGGGCGACTGTCTGCCCAAGATCATCAAAAAGGCAGTACAGAGGAGGCAATGTTTGAGTTGCGTGCTGAAGGCAGAATAGGAGTTTGAGAGGCAGTAACAGGCAATCATTTTATTGTCTAGATCGAAGGCTTTCATTGTCAGATTTTGGAATTTGTACAATTCTAAATGCTCTGGTTCAATTAACTTTCTCTGTTTAGAAAATTAAAGCTGTATTTCAACTGTTTAACATTATTGTTATCTAAATAATGTTAAACCATCCATGGCCAAAATACAGAACTTAAGCAGATAGATTTGAAATACCTCAGAGAGGGAAGCATGGGAAAATATTTCTGGAACAGTAGCGGGCTCAGGGAAAGGAAGCACAATTGTTGAGTGCCTAATATGTACTATCAACTTGACTTCTGTTTGACTTTAACACTTTCTTTTAGACTTCACAAAAACCCTGAGAGGTAGTTTTATTTCTGTCTGTTCTTCAAGTGAGGAAAATGACCTTCAGGAAGATTCTAGAATGTGTCCAAAGTCTCACAGCTAGTAAATGGCAGAACTGGAAATTAAACAGGAGTCTCCCGGACTTTCAAACTGTGCACCCTCCGACATTCCATGCCTCCTTGAAGACAATGGCCTCCTTGAAGATTAGATTCTCAGCTTAGCACTGACTTACTCAGAAAATTTCAAACCTACATTTTTTTTTATCAGCAGTATTATTCTCTGAAATAATACTAGCAGCAACATTTATTTAGTGCTTAATCTATGCTAATAACTAGTAAGATTCCTTTGCATGTTTTGGCTTGATGTTTAACTCTATGAGGGCAGTAATATTAACTGCTTTTTCCAAATTATTAAACTGAGGCACAGAGAGTTAAATGCTTTGCCCAAGGCCACACAGCTAGATGTGGCAGGGATGGGAAATGGGTTCAGACTGTCGGGTTCCTGTTCTTAAACTCTTGATAGTTATGCACATTCTTCCTCAACTTATTCAGTAAGTGCTTTTAGGTGTGTCTCCGATGTGGGAGCACTGTTCTAGGTGCTGTATGGAGCTGTCTGGTGCTCTGGTTAAAGAGAGCCTAAAGGCCCAGGCCCAGCTTCACTCCGTCCCCCATCATTACCCAAAGTGACCTTCAAGGTACTTAGAGGACTCCACAGAACACAGTTTGAGAAACCACTGCTCAAGCTACCAGCTGCAACATCGTCCAGAGGCTACTTCATGCTATCTGCCTGCCTTTTCAATTTAGGTATAATATCCTGACTCGGACAGAAGCTCAGAATGTGTACGACGCCAGGTATTATGGGGGCCAGTGTGAGACAGTATACAACGGGGAATGGAGGGAACTTCGATACGACTCCACCTGTGAGCGTCTGTACTATGGGGATGATGAGAAATACTTCCGGAAACCCTACAACTTCCTGATGTATCGCTTTGAAGTAAGTCTCAATGGGGGACTCAAAGGAGAGGCTTGTTGGGGGAGATGAATGCCTTGCACGGAAGATTTTATGTATCATAGAGTTTGTAGGTGGCTGAAGGTCCCTTTACACCTACCCCCTATATCACTGGTTCTCAACCTTCCTAATGCTGTATTAAAGGGTTCCTAAACCCTTTAATACAGTTCCTCATGTTGTGGTGACCCCCAACCATAAAATTATTTTCGTTGCTACTTCATAACTGTAATTTTGCTACTGTTATGAATCGTCATGTAAATATCTGATATGCAGGATGTATTTAGGTGACCCCTGTGAAAGGGTCGTTCGACCACCAAAAGGGTCGCGACCCACAGGTTGAGAACCGCTGCCCTACATTCTCAGTGCTAAAGAGCACTGAGAGGCATGGGCAGGGCTAGGGAGAGGAGTGAGGTCAGTGTGACCACCCGCCTGCTAGATCGTGGCTCCATTCTAAAGTCAATAAAAGAGATTCAGGCCCTATTCTCTGGGCTGCTAATCAGAAGACCTGTTTCCACATGTGGACCTGTTAGAATATAAGAGCAGTCAGCCCTCTGTATTAGCAGGTTCTGCCTCTGTGGATTCAACCAAATGTGTATCAGTTCTACTTCCACACGAATTGTCCCATAATAGCAGGATGGGGTAGGTGCTATCACTGTCCCATTTTAGATGCTAAAAACCCAGAGACTTAGAAGGCTAAAGTGCCAGGCCCAAAGCTGTACTGAAGTAGGTGGCAGAGATAAGACTGAAACCCAGATATATCTGAACTACGCCTGGATAGATGTAATATTTATTTATTTATTTTATTGTTAAGATATTTTTATTGATTTCAGAGAGGAAGGAAGAGATAGAAACATCAAGGATGAGAGAGAGCCATTGTTCAACTGCCTCCTGAGCCCGACAGGGGATGGAGCCCACAACCATGGCATGTGCCCTGACTGGAAATTGAACCGTGACCTCCTGGTTCATAGGTCGGGGTACAACCACTGGCCGGGCTGGATATATATCATTTAGAAGGAAGAATGAATTATACAGATTATATCTATTTAGTCATACTCATCATATATACACATGTTCTATCTATAGAGAGAGATAGTAGAATCCTAGGACTCTAAACAATTATCAAGTCATATTCACCACTTCAAGTTTCTCAAGAGAAAAATATTGACACAGGATAAAGGCAGGCTTATGGAGTCTGTGTTTAAGGAGTTGGCTTCCCCCACCCACTTTCACCTCTGCCATCAGGTCTAAAATAAACCATGCTGGCAGACAGGAAGATACTATTTCCCTAACCTTGAGGATGCTCTGGGCCAGGGCCTATGTGTCAGGCACCAGCAGTTGCCAACCGGTGGTCCGCAGACCACTGGTGGTCTGTGAGGTCCGAAAGGTTGGTGATCGCTGCACTAGGCTATACTTTCACAACAAAGGGTTCTGAGAGCTCTGATTTGAAGCAGCAGTGCCCTACTGATGCTATTTGTCCATCTGAAAGTGGAAAGGAAACTCATATTATCATAGACACATAGGACCCTGACTGATGGAGGTTCTAACTCGCCACATGCTCTTGTGATTGCACAGTGAACCACTCATGTGCTCTTAACCCTTGCTTTCTTGGCTCCAGCAAAGCATAAGACCATGCCTCAGCTCAGGGTGGCAGAGAAATGCAACCCCACTGTGAGCCTGGAGTGAAATAACCGAACATTTGTGGGCAGCACTCAAGCTTACAATCTGGGACCTCTGATTCCTAACTGCTCCCCTGCCTGCCTGCCTGATCACCCTTAACTGCCCCCCACCTGCCAACCTGATCACCCCTAACTGCCTCTGCCTGCCAGCCTGGTCACTCCCAACCAGCCCCCCCCCTCCCCCGCTGCTGGCCTGGTCACCCCATGCAGTCTGCTGTTTGGTTGTCAGTCTGGTGTTTTGGTCGTGATGACCCCTGGCGCCCAGTCAGGCATGTCCCCTGACTGGGAATCAAACTGTGACCTCCTGGTTCATAGGTCGACACTCAACCAGAGCCATGCTGGATTGGTCCCAATTAGCTCCCCCTTTTTTTTGCAATGTCTGAAACTTCTATAACCTTGCTCCAGACGCAGCAGAGCAAGGCCTCAAACAGTTCCACAATGTTCTCGCAAGCACGGCAGGGATGCACAGGACCACCCCAGACCCCAGCATGCTGGAGGCTTGCAGCCCAATTAGCCTTTTAAAAGACTTATTTATAATCACCTGAAACTTGGTGGATATTTTACAAAGCAAAGATTTAAATGTTAAGTATGAACTGGAATATAACTCTATGTGCACAAAGCTAACATCCATTTGTTTCTTTTCAGGCCCTGGCAGACACTAGTTTCTCCTCAGAGTTTTATGATGATACAAATGAAGTTTTTTCCAAACTAAAAAACGACCTGTTTGTGTCAGGTGGATTGACCTTTGGTATAGGCCTAGCAGGCATCCCTTTAACAGTGGATGCAGGTGTATCTGGATCATATGGCTCTTCGATCGTGAATGAGTTAAGCAAGTACAATGAGAAGGTATTAAAATATAATGCCCGTGTCGCACAGTAATCTATAATCCATACTGAACACGTATTGCCTTAATTGCATTAAAAAGTACAGTAGTAATTGAACTTTCATTTGCTTGTGTAATTGGAAATGTCTGATCAGTGTTAATCACGTTTGCTTTTCTTATTACACTTTTGCACACAGGATCATCACAGAGGGAATAAAATCAAATGATGAGACTAGAGCCCTTATCACTTTGCCCCATTCTTTTTCATGGTTACCTGGAGCA